GGTTTCACTGGGTTGTATCAGTGATGAAGATGAAACGCGATGGAGATGAACACGATGTAAGTAAAACATGATGTAGATGAAACATGATAGATATGAAACACTGATGTAGGTGAAACACATCAGTTGATGGGATCAGTCATACAGTTACAGGGTTAATGACGAATAGTTAGGAAAAGAAAGAAAACCCCCCTCAAAGCTGTAACATTGGCTGTTTGGCTGTTTGGCTGTTTGAGCAATTGTTAAGCAATGTTCAGCTGTTTGAGCAGTGTTTGAGCAATGTTTGAGCAATGTTTGGCTGTTTGAGCAGTGTTTGAGCAGTATTTGAGCAATGTTTGAGCAATGTTTGAGCAATGTTCAGCTGTTCCAGCTATGTTCAAGCAAGTTTAAGTGATGTTTGAGCATGTTTGAGCAATGTTAGAGTGATGTTCAAGCAGTATTTGAGCAGTTCTCAAGCAGTCTTAGACTCCTGTACAAGTACTGTAGATAGATAGATGTACATCAGTTAGATGCCTGTTCATGAAGACATCTTGACATACTGATGGGGAATACCAGCATTTTAACAATCCCATTTCTTCCTCTATATATCAAACATGCATGGCAAATATCATACGCCATGACATACAGACTTTAAACCATGACATACTAGACAAACCATGTTATGGTATAACATGTAGATGCTCCTTGGTAAATCTACCTCATCATACTAATAGGAAAACCGATATTCTGACAATCCTATTACATTCCCTATGTACAGAATATGCATAACAAGCAACTTTGACCATGACATATGAGCAAAAACCCATGACATACTTGACAAAACATATTGGTAAATCTACCTTGTTATACTAATAGGAAAACCGATGTTCTGATAATCAGATCACATTCCCCATGTACAGAATATGCATATAATGCATCTTCTACCATGACATATGAACAAAAACCCATGACATACTCAAAAAAACATGTTTTGAGTATGCCATGGGGGCTTCCATTGATTATGTAATACATGTCATACCCAAAAAGGAAGGTATGTCATGGTACCATGGCATACCATTCATACCTATAGGTTTGGGTTGCAGGGTGGAGTCACTGTGGGTCATCGTGCAACAGAGTCTCAGTCTTGAAGAGGGGGTAATGTTATAGAATTTCATGGCATCTATCTTATCTTCAGCATTTAGATGATCTATATCTTATCCAATTAGATATCTCCCTAGATAAGGATAGTGTAATACATGGTGACATGTTACTAGTCAGGTGTTCAGCTTATCAGAAGCATGGCAAATGGGCTATCATACGGTCACACAAGATTTCCCCATTTGTACTAGGAACACACACGGTCATTCAGGTGATCATCATGATAGAACTACTGATCAAACACAAGGACAGGGCAATGGTTTACACACTAGGTATTCTTAAATAGCCAATAGCATATTGCAAGCATCAGTCATCCTAAGTGTTAGGTGTACTACCAGTAGTATTAGGGGTCTGGTCCCTCATGTATAA